CTTCCTTTTTCCAACTTACACATACGTGTTAATATGCACCCATATGACTACCACTCACTTCTAAATTTTAATCCTAAAATGGATGGATGGATGGATGGGGAGGAAGGGACTACCTAAGTCCCTGGGATGACCTGCTACCTGAATAAAAATAAAAATCAGATCCTGTCCCTTTCAATATTTCTTACCAAGACTCATGCTTTGTTGCTGGGGTATGCCCCACTCAGAATTCTGGACTCACGCCTCTTGAGGCATCTGAGGATGGTGATGTGCCACCATAAACCAAGGGGAAATATGGCAGGGGACACGGAGATGAGAAGGGCACAGTGTCTCCACCACAGACCCAATTCTCAGAGAGATCCGTTTTAGGGAAGAGGGGGCACACAAATGGAAGAGCTGGGACAGGGCTCTTGGAAACCCCTCTCCCCCACCTCAGGGGTCTTCACTCCCCCTGCTTGAAGACTACTGCTGGACAACACTCCTGATCCCCCCCTCTCCATCCCTGCCCCATCCTGTCCCCCCCAGGCCTCAGGGACTAAGGTTGAGTCTTGACTCCTCATCCCTGCAACCCCCATCATTCTCCTCCTTCAGGGGGTATGAGCATGTGTTGGATTCAGTTTCTCTCTTTTCAGAGCAGAGACTCCTGCCAGGGGTGGCGCGGGCCGTAGGTAGTGGTCCACACACCCCTGCCGCCCAGCAGCAAGAACCCTGGCCCTCCCCACTATCTAACACCCACACCTCTCATCCCTCTTCTCTCTTGAAAAGTGTGGATTTTAAAAATATCTTCCCTCCTCATTCTTGTTTCCTCCTTCTCTTTGTCCTGGGTCACACGTGCTGAAACAAAACTCGGCCGGGGCCACAGCGATACTCTGTCCCGATCTTCCTGTAAGTGGTTCATGCGAGAGCACACTCAAGAACTCTGCCTTCGCTCACCAAGCACGCCACCTAGATAACGTTAGAAAGGGCGGTACTATCTAAACAGTAGTACATAAACCTCAAAGACTGAGGGCCTGTGGGCCAGCTGCACAGCCATGCTCCTGTGCTTCCTCATTGTCTCCGGCTGCTTTCAAGTTGACAGCAGAGCTGAGTCGGTGGGACAGAGCCCATATGGCCTGAAAGTCTAAAAAAATTTACCGTATCATCCTTTAAGAAAAGTTATGCCAACCCCTGATTCAGATTAAATTAAGCTAATACCAGTCTCTTCGACTTGGATCTTACTTTTCACGAAATTTTCTAAATGCTAATCGTAGGACACGAAGAGAAAGAACGTAAGCATCAAGCGTTTATCCACCTACCACATAAAGGAGGTAGAGAAAGAAAGAGCCCATCTCCAGGATCACAGCCTGTAGAATCTAGTAGGAGAAGCACATGATATACCCTGGTATCTGCAGAATAAAGTAGATATGTGCCCTGGGAAGGGGACAAATGAACAGCTTTCGAGGTTCAGAGCAGAATGTGATGTTTACTCTCCGGTCAGGTGGGTGCTTGAAAAGGGGGAAGAGGAGGGAGGAAGAACGGGGGCAAGAGAAGAGGCTAGGTGGCATCTGGCAAGGCACTGAAGAAAGTCAAAAGATGAGGATGAGGCCAGGTTCTCGGGAGGATGTCCCATCAATTCTGAGACCTAAGGACCAAGCAGGACTTAGCCAGGTAAAGAGCTGGGAGGGGGGATGGGTTTCGGGAAAAGCAAAGAGAAGAAACAGATGACCAGGCTGCTGCAGAGCGCAGAACAACAGGGAGGGGGGGAGCCAGAGTAGAAGGGCGGGTTAGGAAGGGCTGGATCCCCCTGGTTACCGGAAGCTGCCACAGGTCTTAGAACAGAGGAATGGAACTGGTCAGACTGGCTTCAGCGAAAGGCCTCAGCTGTAGCAGGAAGAAAGTACCAGATGGAAAAGCTGTCTGCCACACTGAGGCTAGCAGGAAGATTCCCGAATTGGCAGGGTGCACCTCAAAGACTGTGATGAAGTGTGGGTGCCAAGACCGAAGATGTTAATACTTACAAGGACCTGACCCAAAGCAGAGAGCAGTGGACCGACTGCTCGGCCCAGGTCAGGGCACTGAGGCAGGCAAGGAAGGCCACGCTCTGACCCCTTCTGGCTGGGCTCCGAGCGGGCTCAGGAGCCGGCAGTGTGACGCTTCAAAGCTGCCCAGGACACAACTAACCGGTCCCTTCCTACAACAAGAACAAATCCTTTCCCCTATTTTACTTGTTTTCGTCCTCCTATTCGTGTACTTGTTCGCAAATCTCAATGTCCTGCAGAAACCCTGAGGCTTCTGAGGGTTCTCTGTGGCTGACTTACGAGTTGAAGCACTTTTAGACAGACCCAAGCAACACCTCCAGAAACTTCTAGGGGACTGAGCTTCAACCCTTGAGAGGTTAAAGAATCCCGCTTCTGAGGAAAATCAGAAAGTTCATGTTGCTAAAGAAGTGATCTGCTGAACCTCTGTCAAAAAAACCTGAGCCTTGGGTGCCTGGGTGGCTCAGTCGGTTGGGCATCTGCCTTCGGCTCAGGTCATGATCCCGGGGTCCTGGGATCGAGTCCCGCATCGGGCTCCCTGCTCCGTGGGGAGCCTGCCTCTCTCTCTCTCTCTCTTTCTCTCTCTCTCTGTCTCTCTGTGTCTCATGAATAAATAAATAAAATCTTTAAAAAAAAAACAAACAAAAAAACCCGAGCCAAACCAAACAAATGAAGAACCGCAAAGCTTTGGAAATCTTTATTGCTCAGAAAAAAGTGCAGGAATTCCTGCTTGTTGTTCATCTCTGCTCTTCTAAACTCTCCTCTCACAAACAGCATGACTGTGACCCCTAGGAAGCTGTCGGGTAACCATGAACATCACTGTCCTTGACAGGACCTGTTTATTCACATATTTATTTATCCAAGAGAAGAGGAATGGCCCAGTGACCTTATTATCCCTGTCAGAAGACAACTGCGGCCTGCCCTGAACCTGTTCCAAATGCCCAGAGTTCTCTCTGAACTCGACGGCACATCTCCGATGCCACAGGTGGAGACCGACTTGGAGGAAAACAATTTACATAATTCTGTTGTTGGAAAGGTGCTCAACTGAAGAGGATTAACTGTCAAGCTGTCATGTCCAGTGTAAAAAGCCTGAGGGAAGTTTCTCGTTCTTCACACAGTCTGTTGTGTAAGATGGAGAGCTGGCCCAGACATGAAGGTTCGTTCTCAGTTCTTCCCTACTGTAACTGGGCTTCATATTTAGAAGGAAGAAAAAGAGAAACCGTTTGTTTTCTGATTCCAAGGACTCAGTCCCCAAAGGCAGACATGGAAAAAATTATGGTTCTCAAAACAGAGGTGAAAATACACTACAGAATAATGAACTGGAGTTCCAAGTGAGATTCTAGAATTTCCCGTGACTCCCTAGCTACATCTGCCTGCTCCGAGGTCTCTTTCTTGATAAACTCAGAGCCTTTTACAAATTTCCCTCAAATGGGTGTACAGAGGATTAACGGGAGAAGAAAGTCGGCCCAGCGCCCGTGGTTTCATTTGCAAATATCTAGGTGCTCTTTATGCAAAGGACACAGTGATCGCCTGTGCTGGGCAGACACAGGTTTTACACTTCCCGCCACACGAGGGGTGCAAGCAAGGCGGGGAGTTGTGAAAGATATTGATCATGATTTCTGGAAACAGTGGGCCAGAGGGACTGTCCATTACCAGGGCATGTGCTCAGAGCCAGACAACTTAGTTTTATTTTTATATCGATGTCCCATAAGAGAAACTGAAGCATGACTGCCCTGAAAAGGTAAAAAGGTCACTTTGCATTACAGTTTTTCATGTCGGCAAAAATGCAGATAATGCAGTAAGTCATATTTCTTCTAAGAAATCACTAACACCAGTCAAATATAAAAAGACCACAGGGTACCATTTTGGAGTAGCAGTTTAAATGGTCACCTTAGCTCCAATGGCCCTGGGGTAGATTTTGTGTGTGTGCGCTCATAAACAGTTCCCTTAAATAGACAAGAACTTTTACACCCAGATGAGCGCAGCCCCCTTAAAATCTTCACGCTGTGACCCTATGCAATTATTCCAAAAAGGTTAGCACATTTAAAAACAATGGCAATCTCCCCTTTAGGATTCCCTAAGAGACGTGAGAAACCAGTCACACCACATGACATTTTTTTCTACATACATCAAAACACACACTTTTTTTGGAAAAGGAAATTACACCATATCTACTGTTGTACACCTTGATTTCTTTCCATTTAATAATACATCGTAGAGATATGTGCATACACACGTGGTTGGGCGCACATGCAGACAGGCAGCAGGACAGAAGACATGCTGCGTGCATATTCATGTACAAACTAGTACATCAGATTCCCTTTTATAATAAGTCATACTTTGCAAGACACAAAATGCGATCCAGGAAGTCCGAGTTCCCTGTACACACACAATCTGACAGATGCTCTTTGCCAAGTTGCTGGTGACAGGCACTTCTAAGTGGGCTGAAGTAAGTATAGACAGAAACCAACAAAGTAACACATGAATGAAGGAAAGACGGGCGCTTGTGGGGAGAGCCTGTCATAAACAGGAGTGCTGAAAAACTCAGCAGACTGCAAAGAGGTCACCACCCCCTTGCCCTTTATCTTTAAGGTCAGGATGTAGCCACAGCTTCCTCTGGGCCATGCACCAAATCTTAGCTTTTCTTTGGAGAAAAGTGGGAACTTCAATTTCCACGTGTGTCTTTGAAGAACGGAGGGCTAAATCAAACAGAATTCTCGAATCAGTCAAATTACTTCCGAGCTGATGCGCAAAGGCCAAGTGAGTCTTTTACCTTAGAGCCCAGCTGAAAACATTCCCGTATTATCAAGGCAAGTAAGAACTCAAATGCCGGAGAATTGTGCAGAACAATCATCCCCAATATGTCCCCTCCACTGTTCCTCTTCAGAAAGACGCTGGAGAGCTGTTAAGGAAATGGCTGACACCAACTCCAACTTAACTGGCAGGTTCGCTACCATCTGAAAGGCAACAACATTTACTGCAACTTACCTCCGTCATCCAAGGGCCGTTTCTGTACTCCGTATCCATACACTGAGGGGTCCACTAGAGGTGTAGAATTATTCAAGTGAGGAACTGAATCAATTTTAGCAGCAATCTACAGAGAGAATCAGATTTAAATACTCAGTAACAAATCCTGGCTCCATGTGAGGGAGAAAGAGGAGAGTCCTCTTAAAAGGCCTGTTATCCCATTTCTCCCCCTGACCTAGATTAATGCAAGGCATTGTCACCAAGGGGACAAACGCTTTTCAGCGCTAACTGAATTCTCTTTTGGCCTTAACAACAATGCCTTTAGAAATAAAATACTTCCAAACATTTGTGTTCTACAAATTAGTATTTTTAAGCTATCACTTAAAATACAGGTATACTGCATTCTAAGAAGAAAAGAAAGGAGACCAACAATATGAAGAACTTTGTTCAAAAGCTTTTATCACAGGATTCCCTTAGGAAACAAGCTCCCCAATACTATTTAAAAGGCTGTGTTTGCTCAAACATGACAACTCGTTAGGAAAACAGCCATCCCATAACTTCAACACCTATAAAGTGATGATGTCATCTATGGAGATCTAAAATAGTAAGCTACTCCTCACTGAAGTGTCCAAACATAGGGAGATGACCGTCTGTCCAGACTACTTCAGAAGGATTCCTGCACTGGACAAAGTGAGATAACCTCTGAGAGCTATTTCAATTTTTAATATTTATTATCAGTTAAAAAAATGATCACATAGCTATTAAAGCGTTTCCCCCCCAGAAACAAATGCTATGTGGGATTTACCTACTTTGTTCTTATTGGAAAATTAAATGTGATCTTCATGATAAATCAACTCTTTCATTTAATCAGAAGAATATTTACAGCCACTGCTCTTGATGTTAGTCCGTAAGTTAAACTTAATAAATAGGTGTGGATTAAGGGGTAGAAGGGGCGCCTGGGTGGCTCAGTCGTTAAGCGCCTGCCTTCGGCTCAGGTCATGATCCCAGGGTCCTGGGATCGAGCCCCACATCAGGCTCCCTGCT